GGGGGGGCAGAGGGCTGGCCCGATGATGTGGATGTGGATGATGTGGGGCAATTTGCTTACGGCCACAACAGCCTTCCAGCCTTCCTCCCCGGCTACTGCTACGAAACGCGACAAGGGAAAGATGAGAAGGAGAGGAGGATGAGGAAGGGGAGGAGGGAGAGGGGGCAGTCTGCGGCATGGTAAGCCGCGTCTCCAGGATGGGCTAGGCCAGGGCCAGGCTAGGCTATAGACTCGCCGCGACTGACAGCGACAAATGGGACGGGCGTTGGGCAAGATGATAGAGCCGTACGCTGCTGGCCGCGCCGCCGCGGCAGCCGACCGCTGCAGCGTCCGCCACTGCGCCCCGCGCACCCCGCGGGGGCCAGCTCCAGGGCCTCCATGGGGGATGGGGGCGCGCGCTGCGGCAGGGATCCCGCTCGGTGCGGCACTCATACGTGTGCACCGCGAAGGGAAACGTGTCTCAGATCACGGTCCTCGGGAGGCACCAAGAAAGATGACCACTGCTGCTTAGTTAGCAAATTTTCAAGTTAGAGTTACAAGCTCGAAGGCACACTTAAAGTCTAAATGCGGATGCGGGAAGGGGGAATCAACGACCTCGGTACATTGATTTGAATCTAAGATCAGTTTCAAGACGAATGTAAAGTCGCACTGGTTTCCATTATGAGTCAGATTTTTGAAATGTGGTGTATTGAACATCTCGTCACGACCTTATATGACCATTTGCGCCTTCCTCCTTCAGCTGGGAGTGGCGCTGGGCTTCGTGGTGCCACCCATGCTGGTGACCCAGAGCGAGGATGTGGAGCTCCTCGGGGAGCAGCTGCGGATCCTCTTCTACATCGTGGCGGGCGTCACCTCCGTCCTGCTGGTCCTCATCCTCTTCTGTGAGTACGCCGTGCACAGCACAGTTTGACGTGTCAGACCATGGAGTTAAGCTAACTCCATGGTCAGACAGGAATCAATTCACTGACATTTTGAAAAGCAAATCGGGGTTAACTTTTTTTTTACGTCGAGTTCTCGGTCGGTTCGTCTTTAAAATTATAGCTCTCTGCGTGTAAAAAGCGGGAAAAAGGGTGGAGGGGTTGGGCAGAGGGTGCAACCGAGCAAGGCTGCTATAGCTGTCTCGTCTTTTACTTCCCTTTTTGTTGTTTTTATTTTACCCTATTTTTTTGACGGTGTCCTTGTCCCGCTCGGCAGTCTTCCAGGCTGGTCCACCGCTTCCACCCAGCCCCGCGCAGGCCACCATCAAGGCATCCGAAAACGAGGGCTTCTTCATCTCCGTCAAGCGGCTGTCCACCAACTGGCCCTACATGCTGCTGCTGCTGTCGTACGGCGTCAACATTGCCGTGTTCTACGCCATCAGCACGCTACTCAACCAGGTCGTGCTCAAGGTCTTCCCGGTAAGCGACGTCTACCCGCACCCCTTGGCTTTACAGCCCCCTCCAAGACGTTGCACTAACGCACTTGATCTGTCGCACGCTCTGCTCACAGCATAGTCGCGACGCGGGGCACATCGGCCTGGTCATCGTGCTGGCGGGGATGTTGGGCTCCGTCGTGTGCGGCGTTGTCCTGGACTCCACCGGCAGATTTAAGTAAGAAGTCAAGGGGTGACTTTCTTTAAAACAGTCGACCCTGGATGGCCAGCTATATAAATATGTTTTGCTTTTATTGAATCAATTTTGTGGATTTTTTTTTTATATTATATTGTTCACACCGTACGGACTGTTTTGGAATAACATGGAGCTCTTGTTTTATTTTAGGGAGACGACTCTTGCTGTCTACGCGCTCTCCCTGGTCGGCATGTTGGTGTACACGTACTCGTTCTTCACCGGCCTCATCTGGGTCGTGTACTTGGCCAGCGCTGTGCTAGGGTAAGTCTCTGGCCGACAGACAGGCGCGCGGAAGGCCGTGCGTCGTCGGCGAGGTAAAAACTATGATACGACTTTTCGGATTATCTGTCTGCCCAACAAAACGGAAGTAGTGACCTTGGAGCGAGTCGATCCGGCTGATAGCATCTCTGAGGCTCGTCCTGTCTTCGCCTGGCTCCGTCCTCTCCCTCGTAGAGTCCCGGCAGATTCCCTCGCCGCCGCCGCCGCGCCCACCCCCTAAGAAATACTAGGTCGAAATAATACCGTTGTGGCGTCGATTCGACCACTTTTATATCGTTTCGATATCATTTCGACGTCGATTCCACCGTCATGAGTACAGAGAGAGACGTCCAACCGCGAGATGAACTGGCGATACCCCTTGCTGGTGAGCGGGATATCGACGCGGAGACTTCCCTCGGAGTGCGACGACTCCTCTCCGTTAGGTTTACTTTCCGTCCCACCTTGTACTTTAGCGCAGCCGTTTTACATACTCCCGCTTCCATTTGAGTTAAAAACATTTCTGCCGTGCACACCGCAAAGTGTAACGCGCTCCGTCATAAGCCAACCATTCACTTGAGCTGCTTGATGGCCGTAATTTTGCTCAACAACAGCACACTTGTTTGAGACCTTTTCTTGGATTCCTCCCTGGCAGGTTCTTCATGACGGGATACCTCCCCGTGGGCTTCGAGTTCGCCGCCGAGCTGACGTACCCGGAGCCGGAGGGCACGTCGGCAGGCCTACTCAACGCCGCCGTCCAGATGTTCGGCATCCTCTTCACCATGTTCTACGGCTGGATCTTCGAGCGCGCCGGCCACCTGTGGGCCAACATCACCATGTGCGTGGCGCTGTTCATCGGCACCATCATGACGGCCTGCATCAAGAACAACCTGCGGCGGCAGGCGGCGCAGAAGAACCCCCTGGACCGCGCCATCGCCGTGAGCACCATCGGCAGCCCCATCGAGCAGGTTGGCGACGACATGATCAAAGCTTGAGGCGGGTCGGGGGCAGCAGCACGCGCGAGGCGGCACAGCCTGGGGACTCTGTGTGTGTCTGTACGGGCGCCTTGTCTACGCCACTTGTCTGTATGTTCGTCTGTGCGTTCGTTACCTTATGTGTTGTGTTAAGTAGCCTCCCTCACGCGTCGTATCTGCTGGGCCGTGGAGGGGGTAGTGGTAGCTGTCAGTGAGCTGGGTTCCAACGACTTCTCGCCCTGTCAAAACCCGCGGCCGCCTTTTTACAACAAACTGTCGAAGTTTAACAGGAACGCGTTCAGTGTGACGGTGCATGGCGCATGGCCGGGAAAATCAGCTAAATGTGGCCACTCCGTGGTCACATCGCACTGAAGTTGTTGGTAGAGGCCAAAATTTGGCAGTCCCTTAGGGGAAGCCAAAATTTTGCACTTAGTAGGGCCAAAATGTGGCGTCTAAAAAGAGTGACAACATTTTTGCTTCACGAGTGGCCACATAGTTTGTGCGTTTACCTGTTTCTCCTCAATGACGGACTGTTTTGTATAGGGATACGCAAAAAAGGGGGACTCGTAATTTCAAAACATTGCGATGACGCGGTTTTATCTGGTGCGTTGCTGGACGTGGTGTGTCGTCGGCATTAAGCGTGGTAGCTAGCGAGGGATAGGTGGTAGCGTGGTGGGGCTGAATGAGGCTTGACAGCGCGGGTGTTCGTGTTCGAAGTAAGTGTATGTTTATGTGTGTGAATGTTCTGTATGTTGTCGAAAGGACTCCCCTCCGATTCCTAGTGCCAATCGCCCCAACTTGACACTGTGAAAAATCATTGTAATTCAGAAAAGGAAAAATGTCACAATTTTACAAAGATACTTTTTACAGTGGACCCTTACGATCTCGGGGAAGGGAAGTGGGGGAGGGGACGGTCAGATCTGGATTTCCCTGTGAGAAATAGTGGATTAGTACAACGTACAACCCTGCTGAGTATTGGCATCTTTTTGACCATGGTGTCTCACCAAAAGTCAGCTTCCTGGAAGATGGTGGCGCTGCATAGCGCTGGATTGACTGTGATTTTGCTGACAATAAAATCAGTGTAAATAGGTAATTGTGGTATTGGTAGAGCCCCGGTTGCTAGTAAGATGAGTGAGTCAAGTCATAAAGCACGACATGACCACCATGTGGCGATGGCATGTCCTGGGTTAATCATAGCTACTAAAATTATTAAGATCTGAGCAGTGTGTTAGTGTGTTAAGGTAAAATGCAGTTATTCAAATTGAGTCTACCCTGCATTTAACTTAACACAATTTTCAAACAATTATTCTATTTATTTTTCAGTTTAGATTTTTCATGTTTAGAGGCCAAATTTTGGCAAGCTATATGATTGGTAGTTAACATGATTGTTAGCACTAGATGAGATGGCGTGCGCTGGGCGCAAAGCCAGCATTTATGAGGTGAGGTCCATGACATCAGACCGGACTCCCGAATTTACCAATTCATTACCTTTAGTCATTGACAATAAATTTCAATTTTACATTGACAATAATGTTGACAATAATTTAGAGTTTGACAATAATTAGTAGCTGTCGGGCCCTTTAAAGGGCAATTTCAGCTTGCTCACCCATTTATTGATTAGGTATATTAAAAGTTCAGATTTTTATGGTGAAACATAGTTTTTATAGCAACGTAGATTGTTGCATTTTAAATATGGTGCAGATTTGCCAAATTTTAGTTTGTGCTGATATGCAGCAAATGTCTGTCAGAAAAGTGAATATTTTTACTATGTGATTTAACAAGCCAAGATTTAAAAAAAAAATATTTTGATTTGTTGTTACCTGTAGTTTTAAAGTGCATCTGATGCAAGGAGTGATGTGAAAAATGACAATAAGAGCAGGATTCTCATTTTGTTTTTAGAAGAAAAAAGTAAGTAGCAAATGCTCAAATTAAGTTTTTAGCTGAATGTTTCTTCTGAAAACTAGCTGTGGGTTAGAAAATAAGCACCCGTATTTCTTGCCTATTCTTAAAATCATTTGTGTGGGCTTTAGAGTTATTTTAAAAGAAAGCATTCCAATCGCAAAGGCTGTGTTACTATTTACTCTACAAACGGTTTTTCGGACATGCTGCTTTTTAAGTTATGTTGCAGAAAAACTATTTTTCCATAGAACTGGGTGCCATAATAATTTTGCCAAAGGATTTCAGGAAAGATTGGTGTTACAATATGAAATGTTAGTGATTGATAGTTATTATGCACAAATTTACCACCAAGCTAGGATGTAAAACTTCAACAACAGCACAATACTAGCACTTTATGAGGATTTTGATATTTAAAGCATGTACCTGAAGTTGTGATATCCTCATAAAATTTCTGAAACAAAATTTTTAAATTATGAATCAACAAAACTTTACCTCTTTTTATTTGAGCTGTGACAAAATCTAACAGTTTTCTTTGTCTTGTAGTCTCGTCATTACTGTTATAGTCTAAGTGGAAAGTAGAAACCACAGATGTGTTGTTGATAATTGCGGAAAGCACCATCACCATCACTTTTCACAGATGATTGTTAGCCTAAAAAAAACTTTTCTGGAAGTTTTCTCTTGACCCTGTAGTAACATTTTCATAAAGGAAGATTTAGTCTCATGAGGAATACAGGAGGTGGGTAAGAAAAAGAGGAGATTGGTGCACTCTAGTGGCCTTCAAATGCCTCTAATTGGGTGTCTGAGAAAGAATGTATCCTCTCCTCTTTTCCCCATGTGACTTTATCAACCTTAAAGCATCTCAAACTTCTTGTGAATGCTGTTTTAACCTTTTTAGCCAAAACTCAGCTACAGTTTTGAAAAAATAAGTAGCACTTATGATTGATTTCAGGATTTATTAAATCTTTTGTTGGGTGCTTGAAGCAATTAGTAGGCCGATCATCAATTCCTCTATTTTAACTGTACAGAATAATCTTTTTCCTTAAGATTCTACTTATTTATGGTAGGTTTTTAATAATTCCAGTTTTATCAGACAGTATTAGTAGGAATATAACAATTTCAAAAGATATAAAAAATATATGCCGTAATAGACAATTTTGAGAAGTGAGAAAGATACAGCATCTGAAATCTTCCTAGTAACATTTGAGAATAGGTGGTTTTTGATGCAACCACTTCCTTTTTAAAGTATAGAAATGAAATTGAGAAAACTGTGTGGCATGTGTTCAATAATTTGTCTGATAAATGTGCTTTTTTTAGGTCTCTCAATTTGTTGGAGCCTTTTTTCTGTTCTTGACTGTTATCTGTTTCATGATATTGCTTTTGTGTGTATATAAGCTTGTCTTCTGATATCTGAACTGTTTCCAATAGCCATGAGGCATTCTGAGATAATAAATTATGTTAGATGAAAAACTACAAGAAACGAAATTACAGGGCCTCTACCTCTCTACCTCAACAACAGATTTGTTTCAAGAGCTTTCAAAGCTTGCATGGCAAAACAATTTCATCCATTCTTTGGAATGTTGCATGCTCTATGGAGTAAAACAAAACCTTGTGCTTCTCCCCCTATTGGTCATAGAAATTTTTGTACGCCAAGTGGTGGGCTGATGCGGAGGTGGAGACAAAGTCGACCTACATGGATTGCATGCTTGCAAATTCTACCAAAATTCAGACTCTCCAGAACAATAATGCAATGTACTTTTCACCTTATTCTTCAAACTAGGTCCTAGAAAACGACGTCATACCAGCAGACTTAGTGTACCAGTCAGCCCCTCCTCAGCAGTCTGATTACAAAGGTAAAGTACATGATTCATTATTTATTGATAATGAAAATAAGAATAGGTTCCTAAAAAAAATCAGCATTCATACTATTCCTCCAGCCCAGGTCTGCATGATGCTATGAGGCAACATGGAGCATGAGTATGGCGCATGTGAAATTTGAATGTTAATTTAATCAGATGATTGAAAAGATCGGTCAGTTATTTAAAAGTTATGAAAAATTGATGATATAAAGTTGCCTTATAATTGTCTGTTTCAGTGCGTCACACAGTTACTAGAAGAGCTCAGAACTACAATGATGATCCACACCTATTGATTTAATATTCTTGTATACTAATTTCTGAAATAAACTGGTACTCACATCACAGGAGAAAAAATGAAAATGGAATAGAATAAATTTAATGGCAGGTACTACTTCAGAAACCCAAATCTTTCAGGTTTGTTTGATTGTAGCCGTTTTTCCTCCCTGCCCAGTGCTTCATTTAAAGCTTTGTTGAGTCCCACTCCAACCTCGACACCAACCTGCAAAAAGAAAAAGAGTTCTCAAATTGAATAGAGGTAGAAAGACACTCACTTGTGATAGTTTCCAAAAATGAAACACACACCTTCAGTGCATCCGTTAAAGTTTGTGGATGTAAACTACCCACACTTGTTTTACATAGTGAGTTAATCCGACCACTCTCTGTCACAGCTACAACCAATGATGCCATGCTACATTCTTCCTCTTCAGCAGTGGGATCAACTATCAAATGCTCACCAATCTAAAGTAAAACAGAAAGTATTCAGCATATACACCTAATATTTAATATTTGTGGACCTACTGATTCAAATTTGAGATAAAAACAAACGTACCTTGGTCAGAGTTACTAAACAGGGAATATTTGTAATGTCAAGTCTCCAACAATCAAATGGATCCCCTGAAAGTTGAAGATCCACATTGCCACCATCCATTGCAACAGTTTCAACTCGTGGAACCATGGTATTATACAAAGCCGCTTTTACTGCGAGTGATACAGCATCAAACAAGTTACCACCACACTCTAGAATCTAGGCAGGCATAAGAGTTTTAGCATTAGGAAAGACAATAAATTTATAATGAAAACCAAATTACTAAATTGCATGACATACCAGGATATCTACATAAAGTTTCCAACACTGGACTCCTTTTAGTATGCATAATGGTTTGAGATCAAATGATAAAGGAGATGCAAAAGAACTCCCTAAGTAGTTGCCTATCTCTGTTGCCAAGTCTTGACCACCTTTGCCTTCAAATTCAGGGGTAGCGTTGGCAGAACTAGAGAAGTATTGTGATTAAAATTAATCTTTATGCATACACAAAATCTGTAAAACTAACCCTAGCAACAAACCTTAACTTACCAGTCAACAAAAAATTCAATTTTTCCTTCTTCTGGGCGATTAGATGTGGGTACATCAATTTCTGTCTTAACACCCACAAGAATGTCAGTGTTTGCTAGCCGTACCCTTGCTGAGCCATTGGCGTGTGTCACGATATCAAGTTCCAACTCAATTGGTCGGTAGTCTTGTTTAGATCTACCATCATTCCGGAGGTCATTCTGAAAAATGAAGTATACTGATAAGAAGTTCCCAAAACTTATAAAGAAAAACAAATAGCTGGTTGACTTGACCATTCATGAGATATTTTTGAGTGAGTTTTTCAAACACAATTTTCACCCATGTTGTAAAGTTGCAATCATAACGTTAACACTAGCTTATCTCGTAAGGACACACGACTAACGTCTTTCAGGATTGTTTAAAACTCGCTACGACACATGCACACACGTCTGGGCGCAAAGTTTACGTTCATCACACAAAAATTAATAAAGAAAGAAAATATTTCTAAAGTTTTGAGGTTATGTTACTCATTCTAAATCCTTTGTAAAGGAGTTAAGAAGAGCGATGCAAAT